TACAGTACATCGGGGCCTAGTGTGTGTCCATTTACACTACTGGCGGTGCATGCATACTTTTTTGCTCATTGAAGAAAGTTTCAGTTTCTTCCTGGCTGTTTCCTTTGTCCTGTCCAGTACCAATTCGTTTGTGATATAACTTTGTGAATTCTTTATTCTCCTTAAATTTTATCTCGTCAGGGTGATACAATGCACTCTCAGAGTGTTCAATCATTGTTTTCAGTCGCTACAATTTTCAGGAAAGAAGCAATAGTTTTCTTAATTTCCTTTTACTTTGTGTTGGGACCTTTTAGCATGCTCGTAACTGGCCCATGGGCATTACCGGAGAATAATTTTCAAGTAAAGAATTAGATCGATTTTAGCGTTTAGTATTTTTAAATTATTATGAATTAGGCATTTCTTTTTATTTTAATTTTTTATTTTAGTCGCAAGTGATGTTTTATGATTTTACCGACGTATACCATGTAAATGTAAATGTGCTAGAATTAGCCAATCAGAGTGTGCATTATATCAGCTTAAAGCATAATATCATATGTAATAAATGTATGTAAATGATATTTTTATAATTTGCCAGGTCCGGTTGCTATGGGGTGACCTCATTTATCTGTTAGGTTGCTGTCATCGCGAGACTTTTGCGGTTCTATTGTGGTTAGCGATAATTGCTTTCAGTGAGAGTAATTGTGCACAAAAGTAACCTGGTCATTTTCAGATATGATCTGGCCACATAATTAATATTTTATAATAAATTTTCATAACGCGGGAATATTGCGCGGTCATATATAAAAAAGACTTCGACTTCGAATGAACCCGACATCATTTTAAAACCTAAAACAGTTGTTGAAAACCAAACGAAACCGCCAGCCACGATTGATTTATACATGAATTCATTCACCCAAGAACGACGGAGAGAACCAGAAAGTGTTTCAGCTTGCGCTGCCCGTGACCAACCTCCTAGAACATGGAATCAAGACAACAGCTTCAAAACTCAACAAGCCAAACGCACCAAGTTAAGTCTTCTGATTAATATTTTATTTATATCATGACTTACACCCACTGTCATGCTTTTAGATTGTATGGGGACTAGATAGCTACTAAAATGTTAAATCACTATTTTCATTCGTGGGTTAGACTCTAGACTGAAGTCCATGGTGCACCACTTTTCTGAAAGACGAATCCAGTTATATAGTAAAATCAGCATATAGCCACATATTATAAATCCGCTCTGGTTTGCCAACGCAAACGTCCTCGCAGTATTTCTACGTTACCGAGTGTTACAGGATATTTTACAAAAACCACATAATTTTTCAGTAATGTGTGACACTATAGGAAACAAAAGCAGCAACAAAATCGTCATTTTCCCGTCGTGCTTGACATTATAGGAACATGTTACATATCCTTTTCTGGTTCACCCAGGCTGAAGTCCATGCA